ACAGTCAGCGTGTGTTCACACAGTGAAAAACAGTCGTACAAAAACCTCCCTCAGTCAGACTGAACAGAAACTGAAGTGACTGCTGCAGCTGGAAGATACTGCAGAGACTGATACAGTTCACTGAGGACACACACACACACACACACACACACACACACGCACGCACGCACGCACGCACGCACGCACACACAGGAGAAGTTGTGATTCTGCGCCCCAGACCCTCCTCGCGGAGTCTTTTCTTTGGATAGCGACCCGCGGTCGCTTCTCCTCACAAAACAGCGGCAGGACCCCTTTTGTCTGCGCTGGAACCCCAGACCCATCATTAGCACTGATTACCGCTGACCAGTTTGACAACCTTATTGACTGCGAGAAAGACTTTTTTCATGTAGTCCCCCCTTGTCCTTATTCTTAATAGAAACGGAAATATTTAGCTATTTTGTGCTCCTAGATTGAAAAAGAAGGAGCAAAAAAATAAATAAATCAAAAGAAGCACCCTGAACCCCCATTTAGTACCCTTCACTTGTTCGCTCTCTCCAATTCACCATACACGTTTGGCTTCTGTTTTGTTCAAGCTGAAAGGCTTTTGTGTGCTTCATAAGTTACAGTAGCCTAATTAATGGCAAATAGGAGGAAACCAGGTGGTTGCCCCATCAGCTGGAAAGGCAGGGCAACACAAAGGCAGCAGAGGCTATGCAAATAAAATAAAATAAAATAAAATAAAATAAAATAAAATAAAATAAAATAAAATAAAATAAAATAAAATAGTTAAAAAGCTTTTTTGTAGCTGAAGGGTTGCCGAACATGAAATTAGGATTCAGTTGCGCGCGCGCGCGCACACACACACACATCTAACTTACAAACTATATAGCTGTTGTCCAAACACATATATGTCAAGATAACATGATGCACGTGTGTATCACCGTGTTAAATTCATCGTCGCTGTCTGTTTATGTTAATTACTAGACTGCTTTGCCTCATGTACGGTCTGATTCTCGATGTCTTGGGAAAATGGACACTTGCACGATTTAAGAAGCCTGTTCCTGCGCCGTCTGTGCAGCGTAAAGCCCAGGTCCACAATCTGTGCTGTGTTTTGATCTCCATGGTCTCTCCCGCAGATCATCCGGGTTAGTGAGCCGGCCTTTCCGTGACCTCTCGCTGTCACCCTGCATTACAGGACGCAAAGCATGTCGGCCAATTAGGCCTCACTCTGAAACGTGTCAAGGAGTCGAGCATCGAGGTATCAAAACGAATATCACTAGAACGTTTGTCTTAGCGAAAAAATCCAAGATTATTATATAACAGCATATTAATGTTCATATTTTTACAGCTTTATTCACACTTTGTTTTTTCTCCTCTTACTCTATCCACACGACAATCCAAGAAATAAGACTGAACTTTAAACTCTCTTGAATCAACAATTATTTTTATTAAGTTATCTTTACGGGTTTTTTTTCTTTTTACTGAAACACATGTTCACTAAAGCGCGCATGCTCAACAGGTTTACCTGTGTAGAAGGTAAGTATTAAAAACACCAAGCAAATGAATATGAAATTCGAAGAGACAGAGCAGATCGTTTTAAATAGGCAAATAAACATTATTTATAAAACTTTAAAGTAAAAATATCACAGTTCTTTTCAACATGAAATACCCACAGAGAACAGCAGGTTAGGCGCGTGTGGATGTCTTCATCCCTTTTTCCTTTTTTTCCTTTTACTTATTTTTTCTTCTTCTTTTTTTAACGTTTCATCTCGAAGCGTTGGCTTATTAGTCCGTGAAATGTGTTTCGTCCAAGTGTTAAGTTCAGTTATCCGCACGTGGGTAAAACGCAAACAAAAGTATAGGCCTAAAAGGATAAGGACGGGCAGTCCGCAGCAGATCACAGATCCCTTTATGTTTTGGCAGCCGTCAAATATTAGTTTGTGTGTGTATGTATGTGTATATGTGTGTATGTTCTTTTTTTTTTATCTCAACGCAGGCACTATGACTTGTTTATTGGATTGTCTTTCACTCGTATCCCCTTTTAATTCATTAACACCCTCGATCTGCCCGTCAGATGTCACATTCACTGTCGCTGGAGGTGATAGAGATGGCCGAGGCGGCTGCTTTGCTGGACAGACTGGCCTCGGGACTGGAGGAGTTCCCCAGGCGGTCCACGGTGCCATCCTCGTCCGCCAGGGAGCGAACCGAGCCGCCGGACAGGACCTGCTGCTGGAGCCTGAGCAGAGGAAGGAGAGACATGACAATAAAAGCCCGATCATCAAAATTATTGTCTATAAGTATATAATATATACAGAACATATATAATATATTGTCTACATCGATTATTTACAAAATGGATTTTTTTATTAGATTAAAAAAATAAAAAATCCTAAACAAACATACAGAAGAAGAAAACATGTCTACTTTTGCTTAAACAAAACAAAACAAAAATATTAAATGGAATCTGTGAAATCTGACTTTTTTCTTAGTGAATTTATAATTGATACATTTTTACCACGTACCACAGGGAGACAGCAAATATATTATTTGGATAACTGTTGGATATGGGACAATTTCAAATGTCATTCTCAGTAGTAAATGTCTAGCTTACACAAGGCTTTATGAAACATAACCTTATGTAAGTCGACCCACCATCTAACAGGCAGATAGAGCCGGTGAAAATAGTTCTTTGAAAGCACAACGTGACATCAGTTAAACTGCATGTAAAAGCAATTAGATTTATGTTGTTTGTGTTATTATTACTGCTAATAATAGTACCAGGAGAATACTGGAGTCACTGTTAATAATACTATTAATGTAGTTGCAGGGTCGACTCAATTTCAGTCGGAATATTACACTTAAATAATACAAATGTTTATTCAGAGTCCAAATAATTCATTGCTGACAGGAGAAAACGGAGAAACCCGTTGCCATTTTTTGGTTGTGCTGGTTGGCCATTTTCTGCGATTCAACACAGACACTGAACGCGGCGTTTATTACAAAAGAAGAAGAAGAAAATCGGGATTACGGTATAATTTTGACTTTAATATGATTTGATGTCAGAGCTGATTGCCTCCAAAGAGGCACGTATACTAAACTGAAAGCAGGGCAAATCACTTGATGGGCAGTAATGGAGTGTGGGTATGTTTCGTTTCTGACGCGTTCGCGTAAATTAGGATTGTGGCGGTGACGGTTATGCACGGAGCTCACCTGTTCTTCGCGGCCGCCGCTCTGTCTCTTTGTCTGCGATTTTTGAACCAGTTTCCTACTTGTGTGGGTGTAAGTCCAGTAGCCTGTGCAAGCTCCCTCTTTTTGCTGGGATTTGGATAGGGATCCTGCAAATACCACTCTCTTAACAAGTGCCGGGTTCTCTCCTTGAAGCAGTGGGTTTTCTGCTCTCCATCCCAGATGGTTCTGGGCAGGGGAAACTTCTTCCGCACCCTGTATTTGTCCACCGGTCCCAGCGGGCGGCCCCGCAGCTTCTCAGCCTCCTGGTAGTGCGCTTCGAGCCACAGCGCCTGCAGCTTCGTATGCGACTCTTTGGTGAACTTGTGGTTCTCCAGGATATGGTAGAGTTCACGGAAATTGCCAGTGTGGAACGCGACGACAGCCCGGGCCCTGAGCACCGACTCGTTCTTGTTGAGGACCTCGCAGGCCGCTGGGGCGACGGGCAGCGACCAGAGGAAGCGGCCCAGGCGCTCGACATCCCCGCTCTCCTCCAGAGTCTCGCAGACCCCGGCGACCTGCTGGGGGCTGAAATTCAAGATGGGCAACTGAAACATGGAGGCTTCTCCCGTGTTTCCCTCTCCCCCTCCTTTCTCCTCTCTCTCTCTCTCTCTCTCTCCTCCGCGCCGAGTCCTCTGCTTCTTCTTCCCGTGCGCCGAGGCAATCCAAGACAACCCAGAAAACAAGGCAATCCCAAAGTTATCAAACCAATCGTCTGACCAGCCGTGAAAAAACGCACACGCCAAAAGCGCCACAGAGGAGGGACAATGCTGCGTGGGGGCCGGCTACCGCATCCTCTGGGCTTGGCAAACTTGGCAGGCAAAGGGCTGAAGGTGCAAGGGGAAAAATTAAAGCCACTGCGGCGGTGTAGTCTATTTTTCAAGGTATGCTGGGATTGAATGTACGAAAGAATTAAAGCCCGAGCTGAGATGTATTTTTAAGGAGGGGGGAGAGAAAAAGACAGTCAAGCCCCCTCCGATGATTTCCTATTGGACTTGGCAGATTGGCTGCCCGGTTGCCATGGATGCACGTCAATCACTGTCAAGTTCAGCCAATCAGGCGGAAAGGAGCACTCAGCACCACCCTTTTCAAAAATAATATAAACATTTTGACCTTTTCTGCTTGGCGTCTTCAAACGTTTAGCTGCCTCTCCGTGCTCTCCTCCGCCTTTGTGCGCGGCGGGCGGTGTTAAAGGAAGAGTCCTATATAGTGAAGTGCCCGAGCAGACAGACACGCTCAGTCTCCCTTTATGAAACAGGCTTTACGCAGCAAAATGACACATCCCCGCTGACTATAGGCTGCCCCGTCCTGCCCTGCCCTGAGGTAATAAATAAATAAACAAATAAATAAATAACAACAGATAACATTAGACGGCGTGGAAGCTAAATTCGACACATCACATTTGTAGTTGTGTTTAGCATGGCCTGCTAGGCTGCCATGCTTTCTGTGATGTACCCTCCGTCATAAGTCGGCCCATCGTACGCCTGTAAGAATCTTATAAAGCGCTACTATACCGTATTTTTAAATGCTTGTTTTGCCTTTTAAAATATATATTTTTGTCCTTTCGCACGTCTAATATAAAATTATGCCACAGTGCAAGTGCACAAATATAAATAAAGTGTGATTGTCGGTATTTATTAAAGCATTTCAACAGGACCTCAAATCTGCAGCCAACCTTGAACAGCTGCAAAATCTTTATTAACAATAATCATAATAAAATATTATCAGGTGTCGCCGGTGAAGCGCGCTCTTTTATATAACCCGGAACAAATGCTCCTTTTTTCTTTTCTTTCTTTTCTTCCAAATGGCTAAATGTTTGCTGTTGTTTAACAGTCGTAAGTGTGATGACAGCCTTTAGGTACCTTTATTCAGTTTTGTGTTGCTGTTGTTGGTTTTGTTGTTATTTTTTCCTCTCTCTTTTTAAATTTACAGTAGCCTCCATCAGCGCGCACGCGTTTGCGTCCGTCCAGCTCGTGATAGCTGTAAAACAAAGCAGGGAGAGAAATATTTGTGTATATAGGATTATCATGGCCCCGCCAGGCGACTCGGTTTTAGTATCAGACACATTCCGTTTTGTGCACAGGCTGATTTAGTAAATAAGAGGGCGGATAGATAGCGCAGATGGTTTGAAGTGTCAGGTCAGATTATTTCATGGCTGGATACAGTAGTAAAGTTCATTCTGACGGAAAAGCCTGATATCATTTTCACAGATAACCCCCC